GGCGGCTGGCAGGGGGGGGCCCCCGAGCCCCACCGCCAGCCACTCGGACTGGCCGTTGTGGAGTGCCGTCCAGGCGTTGGTTTTGCCCGTCTTGTCCAGGCGAGCGTAATGGGGGTGCCAGGTAAAGGCGTCGATGCCCCAGGTCTTGAAGACGCTGGAGGCTGTGATCTGCTGGTCGGAGATCAGGCGGGATTTCATGCCCAGAGGCTCCGAGCAACCTGCCGTGTTGAAATACACTGTAACACAATGGTTTATACAGGCGGTGAAAAGGAAAGAGTCCACAGAACCGTCGTGAGCAGAACCGCGCGGCCCCGGCAGTCGCCGTCCCCGTGTCCCCCCATTTCCACTGCCCGCCGCGGCCCGCAGGGCCGGGCAGGGAAGGCTCAGCAGAGGCGCAGGGTCACAGCCTGCTCGCCTTTCCCCGGGATTTTTAGCTCCCAGCTGTTCCCTGGCTCACAGTGCCTCCTGCTGCAAGGACGCACGGACGTCCCCGCAGCACAGCCCGGCCCGGGAGGACAGACAGTTTCGGCAGGAGGATGGTTTCACGGGTGAAGAGAGCAAATGCAAGGACATCCCCAGCCAAACAGCGTGGCTGGCACTGCACCCACGCAGCAGCAGGATGCGACCCGAGCCCCCGCGGCACCCTGCACCCACCCCGGCACACAGGTCCTGCTCGGCTGCTGGGGACGTGCCACCGGGAAGGAATGCAGGAGGCACAAGGAAAGGGCTCGGGCTAATCGTCCCTCACATTTCCCAGAGGACTTTGATCCTCAGTGCTTTTCAAGCTCTCTGGTGGGAAAAGCAGCCAGTTCGCAGCTCAGATGAGGAGAAGGCACAATAAAAATCCCCAGCCAGGAAGTGGGACAGCTTGGGAAGGTGTTAGCAGCGTGAGAACGCAGCTCGAGCCCCGTTGAGCGGGTGGCATTAACGGCTTGTGCTCCCCAAAACCACCCGCGCGTATTTCCAGGCATCACCTAGCTGGCATGAGCAAAACCAGGCGCTGACAAATCCCCTTCCCCAGGGGATCAGAACGGGTACAAGGGGCGATGCCCTGCCCCAAGCCCCCGTGCCCTGCGGTCCCTGGGGAGGGGAGAGCCACCGATGTTTACCATTCATCTCGCAGCCGATGAGTTCAAAGCGCAGCGTGCAGGCGCGGCGGCACATCACGGGATAGATGCGGATGAACTGGGCGGTGATGGGAGGGTTGAACATGTTGGTCTGCATGGTGCCGTAGTCCATGTTCCCCTGGAAAATCTGCAACGGCAAGCAGGGGCTGAGTGCTCCAGCCCTCCTGCAGCCTCGTGCATAAAATCCCTCCCGCAACGGCAACGCTCCCCAAATTGCAACAAGCGGAGAGGTGGCTTGCTTCTTTCTTTTTAACACAATAAATACAGTCAGGTCAGGTTTTCATGCATTTTTTCCACCGCTGCAGAAACAAGAGAAACTTCTTTTTTTTTAAAGCAAGGTAGATATTCCCAGCCATTCCCTGGATGTTCAAAAAACAAGCACGACACACTTGCCATAAAAAACAAGAGTTTTTATGTTTTTTATGCGAGTGCTGCATTCAGTGACTATCCCTGCTTCGAGAGTGAGATACACCGTCGGCTCATGCTTGGTGCAGACACAGCACCAAGCCGCATAAGCTGTTCACTAGCGCTGCCAGACCATGCCCAGTTCCCACAGTGTGTCAGCGATAAAGATGTTATCTGAATGACCTAAATAAGTCAGCGCTGCTTCTTTGATTATGCTTATTATGGTCAATTAAACACAGCCAGAGCACTGCCCGGCATCGGAGCCGCCCGTGCTGTCTCGCTGCTAGGATGAATCCCAACGTGGCTTTGACCCAGGTCAAAAGCACTTTCCCAAACATGAGGACGGTTCGGGATGCAGCTCGCAGCCACCGCAGCGCCCGCAGCACCGCTGGGAGCGGGGAGCCAGCACGGCCCCCGCACAGAGCATCGCAGCCCACCTTGTCCACATCCTGCTTCTCGTCCTTGCAGAAGGTGAACTCGCGCCCATCCAGGCTGTAGGCGACTTTGTAGGCGCGGACGTACTCCTGCTGGCCCACGCGGCGAGCGCCTTGCGTGATGATCCCGCTCAGCCGCATCTTCCGCAGCAGGTTGGCCTGGGTGGGGAGAGGAGACTGTGAGTGCGGATGGGGTGCACAGCTCCTGCGCCCACCAGCACCGCCGAGCCCAGCTGGGAGGGTGGGCTCACGCTCAGCGTTGAGACCAGGAAAGGGGCCACCCAGGGCACTGTGACTTCCTCGGGATGGAAGTCCTCCACCCCTGCAGCCTCGCATCCAAGGGTGGGCAGAGAAAGGGGGATTGCCACCCCAGGTCCCCATCTCCCCCGCCAGGAACGTTGCCTTCTCCAGGCACGTCACCAGATGCCCCTGGGTGGCACCTCGCTGCAGCAGTCTAGCCCTGCCATTGCCACCAGAAGCAGAGAAATCCCATAAGAGCACCCAGCAAGACCAGCCGTGGCTACGGGGCTGCCCACTGCACCGGCGCTCCCAGTCCTGCTGCAGGTACCTGGATCCAGGGGCTCTTGTCGTAGTTGCTGGAGGTCCAGGCGTTGACGATGCCATGGTTGTTGAGGCGGGCAAGCTCTG